GAGAATGAAATTATGCATAAAATTTAAAGGGGATTATTTTGAACATGAAATAAATAAAAGTTAAAAAAAAAATCTTTTCTTTTCTTTTAAATGTTTAAAAAGCGTTATTTATTGACTGCCCTAAGTAGAATATATAGAATGTACTATTAACAAATATGGGAAAGGAGGAGGTGGAATAAACGGGCATTTTGGGGAAAAAACAATTGAACGTTGGACACAATCATTTTCATTTCGATCTCTTCTCTGTGCATCAATAGTTCGATGCTTTTTTGAGTAGCTTATATTATTTTACATGAGTAAATGTAGTATTATTAGTTTTCTTCAAAGATGAACTCACACTCGCACACTCAAAAATAGTCTGATCACCTCTAGTTTGACTATCCTCATTGCCTGTATATATTGATTAAAACGTATATCAAGCTTTGAGATAGTTGTATTTTAGGTGACGGACAAACATCGACATTGTTAGTTTTCTTCAAAAGATGAACTCCTATCGCACATTCAAAAACCAATGTGTCTTGATATACAGTTAGATTCAGATAACGAGAATAATAGCGACGGCTGTTACGAAATCGAATTTGTTAGACCCCTTGAGTATACCATATTCCATTCGGGATATAAAAATATATCCTGATCGGGGTATATCCCGAAGAAGATATATATTGATTTATTTGATGATTTATCTCAACTCAAAATGATTTCTGTATATTTAGGAAAAATTATTACAACCGATATTATAGAAAACATTTGTTCTTCGTTTCAACGTGGTTCAACTCAATTATCAAAATATATTGAAGAACGATTCATTCGTTGTACAGTGGAAATCGAAAAACCATTCGTTTATGAAAAGATACTTCGTTTAATAGATATTGATGCATATCAGATGGTCAATGAAAAAAATTGAAAAATAAATCTACTGCTCAAATTGAAGCATTTATTCAAAACATTTTTATTCTAAAAGAAACAAGATCAATCGATCTCAATTTTATATTCCAACACGAGTTGACAAATGAACCACTATCGCTCTGCCATTCTGTTCATTCGCATTTGTTTTACCAATCATCAAAATCAATTTTACAACAATTTTTTCAAAATTTATTTCCATCATGCTTTTCTCGTACTCTAATAACAAATAGTAATGAATCTGTTTTGATTATTGACGGTGGTTTCTTACTTCACACACGTCCAACCGAGAAATTTCGTCAAAACAAAACAGTATAGAATTACGCTGATCAGTTAATGAAAAAATTAATTGAACAATTTCAGGATTATGCTTGCATTGATGTTATTTACGATTTTGACAGAACAGTTCAAATAAAATCATTTACTGAACGACATTCAAACAAAATGACAACGAAACAAACGTATGAACTCACAGAATTATCGGAGTAAGTTTTCGTTTATTATTTCCTTCTAACTTTTACGTCCCTAATATCAACTATACTGAAATATTTCGTTTTAGGCTACCTAGCGGATATGATTATGACCAATTTATTTCTATCAATCGAGCTGCTATAGCAATATTAATTCGAAATTGTTGGTTAAAAATGGTACAACAAATACCTAAGAATAAAATTTTCATAGTTGCTGGTCCAGATACAAAGACCTTTCAACTAACAAATAATAACGTGATTGAATCAACTGACTTGGCTTGTAATCAGTCTGAAGCAGATACTCGAATGTTTGTTCATGTTAATCATATATCGCATAACAGTAAATATGCTCAAATTGTGTTGAAAGTCACGGATATAGATATCGTAGTTTTAGCCGTTGGCTATGCGAATCAGTTTCAAAATGAATTAATTGTTAATTCTTCTCCCTCACCAACAAATCAAAAGTTTATTAATTGTTCAAAACTATCAAATGAATGTCGTACTCGTCATAAGATTAAGCCAAAATTATTCATTCTACACGCATTGAGCGGCTGTGATAGCACGTCGTTCATTCGTAATGTTAGTAAAAAAAAACATTTGAAACATTTATGATACAGCCATCAAAATATGAAGATCTCATTAGAATGCATGAACTTTCATCCACCTATAATTGGTATCCAATTGCCGAGAGATTAATATTAGATTCTGTGAATTCTTCGTTGGCAAGTAAGCAAAAACAATCAGACCTTTTAGAACTACATTCAAGTATCAAATATTTCTTTTTTTAAGGTTTAGATGAATACCGCACATCTTGTGCTAATAGTCATGTACAATCATTCACAACATCATATCGATCGTTGTTGATGAAATTATTACCAACAATAGATGCTTTCCTACTTCACTGTAAACGGGCTGCGGTACAAGTTAGCATCTGGTTTGAAGCAACCCATACTCAAATAATTTATCCAGATTTGATAAATAACGGTTACAAATTAATCGATGGGAAAATTCAGATTTTATGGAGAACAAAAGATGCTCTACCGAGCTTACCATCGTTCGCGACGTGTGGTTGTATCACTGGCTGTAGTACTAAAAGATGTAAATGCTTTTCGCAGGCCACTATTTATTGTACGACATTAAGTAAATGCAAAAACTGCACAAACAAACAAGAATCGACACAGTCAATGCCCGGGCCGTCTGCAGTAACAGAAAAAGGCCTAAATGCTAGAATCATCTTTCGTGTTTGCAAATCTTTTTTTTCTTCTTTTGTAGTCAAAAACAACAAAAACTCGAAATTTAATGTGTCTACACGATATTTATGTTGATTCTTCAACAAGCGAGGTAAGTAAAAAAAGATTTCAACTGTGACTTTGAAAGACTTTTCCAATAATTCTGTTTGCACGAAAAAATGCTCTTTACGATTTAGAGTATTTCGGATGATAATGGACCCTCGGAGGACGATGAAGAGATGGGCCAAGGAGAGTTCCTTTTTGATAGCGACGACGAAAGTGTTCATGTAAGTTGAATAACATTTCCATATAGTCTGTCTAATCTCATATGGCTATATCACTTTCAGTTTAATGAATGGGTGCAAAATGACAGCGACGATTTTGAGCCATCAGAAGAATTCAGTGGACTGGCATCATCAGATTTTAAGTCAGAATTCAATAACGAGGCCCAACGAAAAGATAACCAATCTAATCATACACATAGATCCAATAATACCGACGAAGAAAATTTTGTTGTAGGATATTCTTTTCATAACTATCAACCCTATTAAACAATACGGTATGGTGTTTCGAGGTGACTGACACATTCATCAACTAGTTCTGACTTAGTGACTCACAAGGGAGCATCTCCAAGTGTCTACTCTGGATTTTGAAAACGCAGTTGGCCATTTTGTTCAGGTTTCGATTGTAATTTCAAATCTGACAACTTTAGCTGCAATGGTTCATTGGCTAAAAAGCTACAGATGAAAATTTTTCATCTAATGCACCCATATATAGGTATGCGATTTTTATTCTGAAGACTGCATCTCCGGGCAGAAGTGTTTCGTCTATAGCTTTTTACCAATGAATTATTGCAGCTAAAGTTCTCAGATTTGGATTTACAATCAAAACCTGAACAAAATAGCCAACTGCGTTTTCAAAATCCAGAGTAGATACTAGGAGATGCTCCCCCCCTAAGATGAATACAAAAATCTGATTGGCTGACACAAAAATATCGTAAGTATTTTCTCTACTTGTATAACGCTTTCTGTTCTAGATTATTCAGTCACAACAGATTATCTGATCTAAATGACAGTTAAACAGACTACATCTTTAACTAGTATTTCTTTATCGGTCTTCGATGTTTCTTTTAGCTGTTTTTATTTGTTCTGGGGTTTTTGTACTCAGTATAACAGCTGGGCAAGTAAAGTCAAATCACTTGGCTTGAATTTTTGTGAACGTGACTTGACTTGCCTTGAACATTTGTTCACTTCTTTCTTTCAAATTATGCACTCTTTTCTAATAAAATAGAGTTTCTGAAACTATACAAATGCCTTTCATCCAAAAAGGGCTAAGAAGTTTGATGTTCTAGCCAATTTCTGATTAGACTTGACTTGTGACTTGTCAAGTCCCAGTTCTGCAATGCAATAGTTTTTGTTATTGAGAATACGATACAACGGCAATTAAGACAAATCTTACAAGTAACAGCAATGAAAAGCGAAAAAACTTTGATTGCTATTGTGCCTAAATGCACAAGAAATCAGGAAATCCAAGCACGTCACAAACAGTTTTCCATCAGGAGTTTCTCAAAACAAAATTTAGTATGATACTGTCTAGCGTTAGCTCAGCCAAGTAGTTTCAGTTTCCAAGCAATATTCGTTTCATTATCTGCTTTATATGAAATTATTTGAGAAAAATATGCCCTTGGCTGGATCGTACAGCTTATTAGTGCATGAAAATCGTTGTTTGAGTTCACTTTGGGAAATACAAAATTAACGTACGTCGTCGCAAAAACTGTTCCATTTCATGAAGCGATCTCCTAACACTTTTAGTTTGTACCAACACTAGCTGTGTCCTACTACTCTCTTTGGTACTTCATAAAGTACTAACTCACGACTTTCTGGCTGATGGCATTCAGAGAAAAAAATATGCCTAAGAAGAGTTCAAGGTCTCATAGTTTTCTTTGAGCTCTAAAGCACGTCTCAATAAAACACACGAAGACAAATATATCAAATAATTTACGTGCAAAACAAAAAAGTCACTTATGACATACTTGATAAAAATAGAACCGTTACGCGATAATTACCGATCAAATATTCGTACTGTAACCGTTATTAGAAGCAGTATTCTACAACATTATAGAGCACATCAAGCTGTGCATACCCTCTCTATAGAGTATGACAAGCTTTACATATGTGTTACCATACAATGGTTTAAAGTACTAATTTATGACTTTTTCCTTTTTCACTTAGATTATTTGACATATTTGTCTTCATCTGTTTTCTTCAAACGTGTTTTAGAGCTTAAAGAAAATTGTGAGTTCTTAAACTGTTCTTAGTCATAGTGCCATCTATCAGAAAGTCATGATTTAGTACTTTAAACCATTGTATGGTAACACATGTATAAAACTTATCATACTCTATAGAGTATGTACAGCTTGATGTGTTCTAAAATTTTGTGGAAAATAAAGGGTGATTACTGTCCCTAATAACAGTTACAGTACGAATATTTGAGCTAACTATAAACTATTTCTTTAGAATCGGAGGCTTTCAAACAACCAGCTAGAAAACCATCAAAAGCCGTTTTTCAGGGCATAAAAATTAGTGCGTTGGAAACAGGACACTGTGAGAGAGAACAATTCAAACATATATTAATCTCAAAATCGATTTTTTGGATCAAATTCTCCTTTTATGAGAAGAAGGCAGTAGCCCTTAAGGGTACTCCCCGGGTTTTCAACATCGAAAAAGAAAATCAAGGTATTTATGCCCAGAATTTTCTGACGTGTTTTCTGAAAACGACCTCCCGAAAAAATAGTCCTATCGAGCTCAACATTTTACCACAGATACTTCAGATCTTATGTCAGGTTGGGTTTTTTCTTATCCACAAATATTCTTTCCTTCTAGAGATATCCGAAAAATACTTAAGTAGATAAATAATAAATAATAAAAATAGTTAAGACCTATCGAGATATGAAATATCGCCTCTAATCACCACATTTTATCAAAAACAACCTCATGTACCATTATCAACGCCTTTATGGCGATATATTGACGATTGCCCGGTTCAAAAATTCTCGAAAGTAGTCATTCTATGGTGCATTTGAAGTAACTTTTTGATGAGTTTTGGAAGACCCAATAAATCTTTATGCAGAAGTTAACTAATCGATAGAAAACACGACTTTCATCCACAGCTACACTGTATTTTGATAGTTTCTTTTTCTCCTTGTGTAGCCGAGGCTGTCCTCTTTCAAATGGTATATGAACGAAAATTCTATCTATTTGACAAATGTCAAAACAGACATAAAAAAGTGATTGTACAATTATCTATTTATTATTTATTTTAACGGACATACATATGTCAGGTGTCATACTGATCGAAATAATTTCTTCTGAATGAGTTTTTAGTTTTAAGTGGACAACACCTTCCAAACGGTAACAATAACTTATAATAATAAAGTTCTATCTATTTGATAAATATCAAAGCAGACATGAAAAAGTGATTGTACAAACACTTATTGAGCGAAAAAACAGTTCAGGGTTAATAACGGGAGATAAAAATTTACCATTAACAAAGAGTAAAATGGAGACCTACGACTATCGAATGGTAAAGAGAAACGTCTTCTGTCCTCTTCCTTCAGGAGATAACTACGTTACAAGTGATTTGTTCTTCATCGTTCGAACACATGTTTCACTAACCCTACAAAATTATGGGACAAGCTTCACGTCGGTTAGCGTCCTTTAGAAGAAACACGATTTGACTGCTTTAGTCCTTGACCTACTTTTCATCCGTTCAGCTGTGAAATTAGCCGCCTTATAAGCAAAAAACCAAACCGTACCTTTTCTAAAAAATAGCATGTTGTCGAGTACAAGTTGTGTACTACAAACTGACAGAAAAACT